GGACATTTGATGCCTTGGAAAAAGAAAAATGAGGTCTTTTCCAGGTCGAAGTATTGGGTCTTGTCCAATTGGTACCACAAGATTCCTCACATCTCTGAGGCCATTGAAGGCCTGCTGAGATGGTTTTGGTCTCCTGCCTGCTCTGATTCACATAGACGTCTGAGCATCTCAAGTGTGTACACAAACAAGAACATGGATGAACATGGAGGATTGGTATACCGATATGTTCTGCAATGTGGATGTCTAGTCTATACAATGTCGTTTCGGTGCTCAAAAAGCGGTGCTCAACGAGCTCCTCGTGTTGGTTGCCCCTGCCTCCTTGTAAATGGATGTGCCACACCGTGCGGTCACCCCGCCCGGAGGCAAACCAGAAAGCGCCGAAGCTTCCGTCATTGCCTTGGCATCGGTGGCGGCTGCGCGAGTCAAACAGAACCAGGCACAGCTTTTGGTCAAAATAAGGACTCCAAACGTTTTAGAGGAAGAACATCAGACTCAAACATGCCGGACAAAAAGTAACATCAAACAACTTCCAAGCCTCGTTTCCGAAACCCATCGAGAAAAGATCACCACTGCGTTCGAGTGGCACTTCGCTCGACGGAGGTCCACACGCTGAAGAGAGGTCATGTGAGGTGACAGTAGTGGGATATCGTGGGATCATCGAGCATGAAACCAAGGAAACTGCTTGGTTTGCATGTCTTTTCAGTTTGTTTGCATTTTTCTTGCTTATACGCGACCTGAAGTCCCAGGTTTTTGGCTTGTGAGTGGAAGCTCTGCTGGCGCCGTTGCCCACCACTTCGTTCCAACATGTTGATCTCCAAGCCGTATGTCATTTTCGCTTGTGGGATCTGAAGTCCTTCTCTTTCTCTATGTGAAGTTCGCATGAAGAGAGCTAACATGATCCTGCGGAGCTGATCGCGTAGCCATGACACCGCTGATCGCCCAAGAAGGGCAAAATGGCTGGCATGGCAAAGCTCCGGATGAAAGCCTCCCCCCCAAAAAGGTGGCACAATTTGCAACGGTGTCCTTTTTGTCCAACTCAACTGTACACTAAGAGCAAAGCTTTGAGACTTCTTTGGCCGCGACTTATTGAAGCAGGCAGCCTTCAGCACAGCCAAAGGAGCTCTCCATTTAGCAAGTGAAACCAGGGCGTGGATCAACCCCCCATGGACTGCCCCTAGCTGAACAGCAACAGTTTCTTTGGAGTCACGGATGTTCACCATGTCCAAATGTTCGCCTATATTTCTCCGAGTTTGACCAGCTTCTTGCTCCTAGTGGTAAGGCCAGGAGCCCCTAGTAGCTTCGTAGCTTCCTAGTAGCGATGCCCAAATACCCTTCATTTTGACCCATTCCCAATCTGTACATCTTGCCCATCGACTCACCACTCGATGGTGTGGGGTCGCTTGGACTGCTTCGTGGCCGTCTTCGGTTCCGGGGGTCTTGGACTTACCGTCCGCCGGAGGCATCTCCCATGAGCGTCCGAAACTTCTTGGGTCTTCCTTTCAGCACGGAATTCATCTGCATGCCTTGGAGTGGAAAACGGAATGGACACATAATGGAACCCGGAACAAACACATGAAACAGAAACCATTTGTTCGAAGAAATCGGATAATTAAAAAACACAATTCATCACCATTCTGTCAAGCCCAAACCAGGATGCCCAGTCTCATCTCTTGCTTGTTCTTTTCCTTCAACACGGCGATCACTCGCTTCCCCTCCCTCTTCTGCTCTCTCTTGGTCAACTCCACCCTGCCGGCGGCATCATTCGCAAGCATGAGATGAGCCCGCACACTCTTTACACCTGAGCGGCCCCCAGCCAGCGCTAAGGGACCAACACGAGAACCCCGCTGCTTCCAAATGTGTGCCACATCCCGGTTTGCGGCGACCATACCATTTGGAAGCCTTAGGTCGCCGTTGTCCAGCACTGTGGCAGGCTGTAAGCCAAGCACTCGCATCACCTCCTCGAACTCTGCTTCATCGTCACATTCCACAATCTCTGTGCCTGAACTCTCTGCATCATCCTCTTCCTCGTCATCTTCATCTTCGTCATCTTCGTCATCTTCTTGTACCTCCTTTCGAGGTGCTAGACCTGTGAGAGCATTCTTATTGGAGAGCTTTTTTGCCAAGATGTCTTCCAGTACCTGGAAGTGTTCCTCCAAATCTGCAAAGCCTTCGGCATAGAGCTGAGCCAAAGCCTCCATGTCCAACCCTTCTTTGGGATCTGCCCCAGCCTGTGCACAAGCACCCTGAAACAAAGACGCGCTCAGTTGCGCCTCCTCTCCTTTGGTGGCCTTCCAGAGCTCTGAAAGCTCTGCGTGTGAGAGAAATCCATCGCGATCTTGGTCAAAGAATCGGAAAATGGACGCAAGCCGCTGCTGAGGGTCGGTGATGCGTTGGGTGATCTCTCGCGTGGACCCGGTGTAGTCATAGAACTCCTGGTCGAGTTCAAAAACGATCGGAGGGAGGTGCCGGTTGGGAAGATCGGACGGAGAGAACGCCGACCAAAATGAGATCGTTTGAGGCGCCCCCCTAGGACGCAAACAACCGCAAACAACAATGTTCAACAATCATATAGAGCACACATTCCAAGCGCATGATTGAACATGAGTTCTGTTCTATGGCGCTGCAGTACTCGCTGCTACGTATGCGGAATCAACCACTCCTCCAACTCAGCCTCGAGCTCTTGGGAGCCCACCTCATCCACATTTCCACGCCGGGTGCGCGCTTCGGTGCCGATCCGCGTATGGGCTTTGTCCAGCATATGGCGACGAGTGCTGGCTGCATCCGGAAATCGGCGGTGGCAAAAGAGGCAGCTGCAATCTTCGGTGCACTTGCTCCACAGGTGCTCCAACAAACCCTCCAGGTTGGTGCAATACTCTCGGTCGGGCACAAAGAAACTGTAGGTCTTCCACATGTAGGCCAAATTCTTGTCGACTGTGCTAAAATGCTGACGGTCAAATAGAGATCTACGTGGGGAAAACGCCACTGGCATCGCTTCCTCTCGTGGAGCTTCTAGAGTTTCTGCATAACCCTCCTTAGATTTGATCAACCTGACCTGGAGAAATTCAAAACAATTTCCAAACGACAAATCCCATATCAAATTCGATACACCAAGCATAATAACAATAATCCCCTAAATGCACCAACAAAAACACCAGTGCTTTTCCCATTCCCCCCACCATGCGTCAATTCCTCCGAAGAAAAAATACAAAGACTTTGCCCAAGCTTCAGCCCCCTTGCGCTGCACCTTCCCCGCTTTCAGGTGCGCGGTGCCCTTGGTGTTCTCCTGCCCCTCACGCTCACGGAGCTTGCGCTCCCAGGCCTCTTGCGAGATGGGCTTCAAACTTGAGAGCCTCGGTCGTGGATCGAACTGGCCGACGGCCAACGGCGAGGAGAGCGAGGGGCTAAAAGCTAAGTCCCTTCACCTCCCAAAAAGCACCCATACAGCCCATACAGTAAAAAGTTTCTGAAGTCCGGTTCCCTGCTTTCAATGCAAAGAACTGGCGCTTCATGTTGTACACATGCCGCTCGGACTTGCAATGTGCTCGCAGCTCGCCCGCCGTTGCGAAGGCCTCGGCGCAGCTGGCACAGCTGAACTCGGCCATCGCCATGGCTGGCCACGAGGAAGGCAACGGCGGTCGATGTCGGGCGTGCCGCGGGAAGGGGTCTGATGGGGCGCCTGAGGCGGTGCCGCTCTTGGCCTGTGAGGTAAGAAAATGTGAAAAATGGGGAGGAGTATCAGAATTAACAAAACCCTTCTCCTGGTGCAATTAAGTGTACTTCGTCGAGGACTCATCCACTCAGCGGACGACTTGGGCCCTCACAAAGGCGTGCAGCTTTCAGAACTGTCAGAAGCTCAAGGTCAAGAAGATGTGCACTTGTGCAACAAGCTAGTTCGGCATGTGTGTGTGTCCACCCCTGGACAAAGGGTTTCCTTCGACCACTCCAATCAGGCAGGGGGCAGCAGGGAATCCACAGTTCTGCTGCCAACGAAGACAGCTGTGGACATTCCGTGAAGCAGATTGGGACGCCAATCTGTGTACCTGCCTTGATTGCAAGCTGTGACACCAATTTTCTTCTGGTTTGTTTTCATGGTCCTTGCATGATACCTCCCCCTAAATCCCCTAAACCCTTTCTTGCAGCCGCGTTGTCTTGCAGCTGAGCCGCGCCGATCGATCGCTCTGCAGACTTGACCAACAACTTGTTGAAACACCTACAATTGTCTCGGACTTTCCGCCATGCTGTTCCACCGCCTTTCTTCCCAACGTGGTAACTGAGTTCACTGAATACAAGTGTCAGAGTGTGTTTCGCTCAGCCGTCCCACTCGGGTGCTGAGTGTGATCCCCGTCACAGGGGCGCCGTTTTTACATGGGAAAGCAACCACCCCAAAGCACCACCGCTCATTGGACCCTCACTGGCAGTCACCGACACCCCCACTGAATCAACCGATACACTGGCCGCCGGGCCCAAAAACGGTTACTTTCGAATACATCAGATTTCGGAGACTGAAGAACTCAAACTCGCTAGCCTGAGCATACTTGACGGCTAAGTATTCACATGCATGCGCTGCTAAGTATTCACAGGCCGGATGAATTCATCATGCACACCCCCCCCCCCCCCCCCCCCCC